ATCTGCAGCTTCTTCCGTAAGGAATACCTAGATCCATGAATGGATGGAAAGCAAAGCATTTATCTGCCTTGGAGAAGAGATAGTCTTTCCTTTTGATGCCCAAGTTGCTCTCTCTTCCGGCCTCTCCTGATTTGGGGGCTCGGCAAAAGGTGGACAGAGATTTTTTTTTTTTTTAGCAAGCCGAAGTAATCAGCAAGTGCTAATTAAGTTAGCAATGCTAACCCAGGAGCTTTAGTGTGATGGACTGGCTGGCTGGAAACAATCACTTAATTGGCGCAGATAGCACTCTTCTTTGGCGTTTTATCGCTCTTGGGAATTCAACAATCCCCATTTTATTCTTGCCCGCCCCCACGGAAGCTATATATAAATGTTCAAAGGAAGGACCATGCGAGGGTGGATTGTAACACGCTTCCCTGGACACCCGCATGCTTCTTGAGATGCCAGAGATCTTTCCGTGGTCGCAAACTGCGGTGGTGCCTTCTCTCTCTTTCCTTCTTGCTTACAGCACCATCTTGTGTTCATCGGATTTTAAGAAAAACCTCCTAATTGTAGCACACCCAAAGCTGCTTTTTTTTCTTCCCCCAAAAAAGCCAACAGGAGTTCCTTTGTTCTTGTTTTTTCCCCCCTTGAAGACGTTTCGCTTCTCATTTGAGCAGCTTCTTCAGTTCTGGCGGAATGGTGGGAAAGTCAGAACTGAAGAAGCTCCTTGGATGAGAAGTGAAATGTCTTCAAGAAAAAAAAAACCCCAAGAATGTCCAGTTGCCTTTTTGAAAAAAACACCTTTCGGACAACCATGATCTGAATGATTAAGAATCTCCATAGATGTTTAGTTGTTGTACAGTGTCTCTCCTTTCCTTCTGCCTGATGGATCAGTGCTGGCTGGGCACTTCTGAAATAAAACCAACAAGGGGATTATTCAGAATGTGAAAATGGGTCCAGAGAACTGGAAATAAACACTGGCGGGATGTTTTTTCCCTACGTAATAGGGTTGACATCCATTCCCTTCTTCCCAGCACAAAATTGACCCACAACTTCACCATCTGATCCCCCTAGAGTGGAGTAGAAAATAGCAAAAAAAAATCCTGCACGCTTCTCCTTTTGCCTCCAGTTTTGGTTACTTCCCGGAGTGGAGGAGGCAAATATAATAAACGACAATATAAAAACAGGGCATAAGATACGGCAGCTTTGGGTCCATAAATTTAACGTTTTCCCTCTGCTTTGTGTAACTGGCTGGTGAAGAAAGATTTGGACTGCTAATGTGAGCCGTGACACCTGGTTCTTGAGCACAAAGTCTTGGGCTGGGGAAAGGAAGCACCGCAACGATAAATTACATGAGCCGGGAAGTCCGTAATACAAGACTTTAGTGGTTTCTTGCAAGCTGACATAAAACCCATCACTTTATGAGTGGAATGTGGCCTAACAGGTGTGCCTGTTCATTTATTTTATGCCTGTCGAGAAGCTGCCCGATTTTAGGTGGATGTTAGCCCTGCCTGCGAGGTCGTCTCGACAAGAAACACAACAATGCTTTGTTCTAGTATTTTCCCACGTCATTATAGTTGTGCTTTTAAAGTTGTAGCATCAGCAGGCTTGTGTATTGGGTTCGTCTGTGTGTCAGGCTTTGGCAGCCGTTTCTGTTTTGAATTTGGTGCTAGCCTTGTGCTTTGTTAGAATGTTTTTTTTTCTTCATCCTGATTGGTTGGGAGTTCTTGGTCTGTGTTTATTGGTCTTGGAGTTTGCTGTGTTCTGCTTGATTGGTGTTTCTAATATCTTCTGTCTGTCTACAAAACGCTACAAAACAGACAGAATACCCGAACAAAGCTGAATACCATATATATAGATATAGATGGATAGATAGATAAATAGATAGATAGAGATATAGAGATAGAGATAGATATTTATTCACTTATTTACATTGTTTATGTAATATCCTAGTATGATTTATATTGATCTCTTATTTAGTATCCAGGACTATCACCAAGTGTTGTAGCTAATGTTTTACGACGAAGGTATTTTTACAATGATTATGATCTATCACGATTGTTGTATGTGCAGCGAGAGCTTATGCACGGGAAAAAAATCCATTGTGTGTCTAATCTCACTTGGCCAATAAAGAATATTAATTCTAATTCTAATATTTCTGCGCTCCTTTTAATCCCTGGAAAAGAGGAAGGGTCCTTTCCAAAGACTCTTCCCATCCCTCCTCTCCTAAGGGCTGCAATATTTTGTACACGCCGGTTGCCCCAGTCTGCCTCTCCTCCTTCTGTCCCCCAAGGTCATTCCTGCAGACCATTACAGTGGCTTAGCAGTTCTGGTGCCCGTGGTGATTAATTCCTGGACATCTGTGCAACCTTTACCTCTCAGGCCCGTGTAAAGAGCTTGGGTTCAGGGAACCGTTTGCATCCTTTTAAAAAATTCATGGTGTCATTTACAAGCAGGCAGATAATGATTCAGAATGCCGAAGTGTCAAAGGCCAGCTGGCGAGACCCACCGCAGAGAAGCCAAGTTTAATGATCGGTTTTTACTCTGCTCGAAATAAATTTCCAGACCCGGCTCTGGGAACCAAGTATAATCGTATTTATTTATGTTTAAAAATTCATGAGCATTCGGCACAGGCTCTTTTCTTTGGGTCGTGTTGTTTTTAACAAGTAACATTCATTTAATGTTTTTTTTTTTTTCTAAAGGAATTCCAGGCTTGAGTAACAAAAGAAAACAGAGCATTAAGTAACAGGAGTAACCTCAGAAAGGAGACGTGTCGGAGCATGCCAGATTCCAGAAAATTGCCCACTTGTCTTGTGGTTTTTCTTCCCCTGTGGTGCTTCCAAGGTTAACTGTCCCTTTGCCGCTAAGCTACCCAGTTCAGGGTGGCTTTTTTCTTTTCTTTTCCAGAAGCCTCCAGGGCAACCAGCAGCCTGGCCCTGAGTCCAACTGGGATGCTCCCGAAGGAGCCTTCCATTCTTCTTCCCCTTCCCCTTAAAACGGTGAAGGGTGAGCGAGGATTTGGTTCAACTTATATTTTAAAGGTTTTGTTTTGTTTTTAAAGAATCCAGCAATGCAGACCTTTCTGTCTGGATTTGCTGAGGATTTGTAAACACTGGATCTGATTTTCCAAAACATTATCTGATGGAGAACTTCACACCCTTCTGCAAATCCTAAACAGTGGGATTTCATCTGGGAGGCAGGGCATCTTGGCCTACACCCCCCCATCTCCTCTTTCTCCTCTTCCTCCTCCTCCTCCTCCTCTCTTCTTCTCCTCCTCCTCCTCTTCCTCCTCCTCCTCCTCCTCCTCCTCCTTCTCCTTTCCCCTTCCCTCTTCTTCTTCTTCTTCTTCTTCTTCTTCTTCTTCTTCTTCTTCTTC